CTAGGCTGGCTCCATTGACTTATTATTGTAAACAGCAGCAACAGACACTCTAGTGGTTTCTGTTGTACGATAAAGTCCTTTGGGTACACACGCTCAAATGGAAATTCTGTCTTTACTTTTTAAAGACCTCTCTGTACATATTTCCATAATGGCTGTCCTAGTTAACACTGATGCCAATAGTGAGTAAGGATTATTTCTTATTTCCCTCACCAACATTTGTTGTTTTCTTTACGGTGGACATTAGAACTAGAGTAAAGACCTCAAAGTAGTTTTATTTTGCATCTCTCTGATGGCTAAGGATGGTTTTTAAAAAACACTTTTAAGTTTATTAGCATTTTATATATTTCACTTCTTTTTGTTGACAAATACCATTGAACTGTGTAGGTACATACCTTGCCATCAGGTGATACTTGCATTGCTTTTGCTTTTTAATGGAAACAGGTGTTTTCCATTCTCTTTATTATACCTAGGAAAATTCTTAGGTCACATGCTAATTCTGTGTTTAATGTATTCAGGAAAAGCCCATCTGTTCTCTAAGGCCAGTGCAAGAGCTTACAAGACACACACAAAATCCAAAGGGTCACCTCTCCAGAGCCTCAGCAACAATGTTCCTCCTCCTGTTTCTTCTTCCTCTCTTCTTCCTTCTCAGTGCAGAGTCAAACCCAAGGTGTCACATGTGCGAAGCAAGTACTGTCACTGAGCTACAAACTCAGCTACTGTCCAGCTCTGACAAGAGCATGCTGGTGAGGAAGTAGGTTCTCTGCAGGCTTATTACATTATTCTATGATGGTATTGAATCTTTTTCCTTATGCTAATTGGATATTTAGAGACGAATAAAGTATTGAGAAATGTTAGGAGATATGGGTCCCTGGGTTAGTGAGAGGGCTCGGTGTATAAAGGCTCTTGCTGTAGAAGCCTGATGACCTGAGCTCAATCTCTGGGACCCACATAAATGGGAAAGGAGAACACAAACTCTACATGGTTGTCCTCTGACCTCTATGTATAAATATGCCATGGCATGCATACCCATGCACACATATACATCGTGCACACATACAATAAGTTTTTAAAGATGTGCCAGTCTATTATATTTTCTGTATCTATGACATTGTTTGTTCAAAGTTTGCTGACATATACATTAGCTTCTTATGTCACCTTTTATTAATTTTCAAAGTATGTTCAAGTTCAGATACATATTTTTACTAAGTAAATCAAAACTTCACAATAGTCTGAAACTGCACATAGAAAATTAAAGCCATGGTAGCTTTCTCAGAAGACTCTGTAAGGTATAGGTGAAGAGACTGCATCCTGTCTAAATACTGACTTGAAATGTGTAAGGGAGCATAGTTTAGACACTGACTAGTTACTAACACTAAGAAACTACTGCTAACTACAAGGAAAAACAGAAGGTGGTGATATTTAAAAATCCTTACATTGGTATACTTACTAGCTAATAATTTGCTTTCTGGGACATTTCCAGTTGGATGATCATGTCCTAAAACTTGAGTCTGCTGAGACTTTGTCCTGCTAATGTCAGTTTTACAATGCATAGATTAGACTTTAAAGGGAACCATTTCTGGGGTTGGCACCACTTAACTGCCTTCCTGAAGAGCTGTGAAAACAAAAGCTGAGGAAGATTCTGTTAAAGCTCTGACTGGCAATCCAGAGATCCAGTGTGAATTCTAATACTATAGGAAACAATTCACATGTGCTTTGTGTCTCTATATATTGCTCACAGTGATGGTTACTGCAGCCTAGGCTCCTCCTCCACTGTTCATGACAGCACAGCATTTTGGACATTTACTGAGGTGTTTCACTCTAAACCGTTCCCCAGGCTCTATCACTATTCACTTTTGGAAAATTTCTTGCTTGATAGCACCCATTTTTTTTTTCATTAGACAAAAAGTTTTCTCTGAGTGTTTCATAACCCAAAGCAAAAATTTAATATTTATATTGAATATGCCTTTAAATGCAAACATACTTTCTAGATGTATAACCGTTCTTTCTTCTTCCTTGTTTGATAATTAAGCTGTTCTTTGTACATTTCAAACACTTGTTTCAAATCGAACTTTGTTTTCATTATTTTGGTTCAAAACTCTTCTATTTCCTTGAATTTGATGGATTATTTCTTCCAGGAAGGGCTGGCTTTCCTTTCAGTCTCCATGTCTTTCCCTTGGCTGGCAGCTTTGTCAAGAGGTAAAGTTATACTTCCTTCTCAGCCAACTGATAACACATCTTAGGGACAGGGTGTGTAGCTTAGCTGGTCAGGCTTCAGGATGCCCTGGGCTCCCTCTCCAGCACTGCATACCAGACATGGGGGTTCATGGCCTGTGATCCCAGCACCCAGGAGAAGCAGCAGGAGGGACAGGAGTTCAAGATCATCCTCAGTTATACAGTGAGTTCAAGGCCAGTCTTGGCTACATGAGACCACCTTAAAGGCAAAAAACAAAACATTTAAAAAACAAACATTAAAAAGCAACCAAAGGAGCTGGAGGGAATGGCTGGGCTGTTCTTCCCTAGAACCTGAGTTCCAGTCATAGAAGCCACATGGTGGTTTACAAGCATCTGACTGCAATCTCATGGGATCCACTGCCCTCTTCTGGCCTCCTTGCACACTACACAGACATACATAAAGGCATGTAAAATAAAAGAGGGGGAAGAAAAACAACCCCAAGCCAGGTGTGTGCCACCTGCTTTTAATCCCAGCATTTGGGAAACTGAGAGGCAGGATTAAAAGTCTGAGGCAACACTGGGCTGTAGTATTCCATTTCCAAAAACACAAAACCAAAACAAAGTTAAAAAATCCAATCCTAACAAATTTCATATGGAACATTTATAAAAGAGAAAAGCAGTAGGTGGTGGTGGTGCACACCTTTAATACCAGCACTCAGGGGGCTGAGGCAGGTGCATTCCACAGCCAGCCTGGTCTACACAGTCTGGAGATGCTGTCTCAAAACCCATGCTAACAAAACAAGCAAACAATAAAGCAACCCACCCACAAAAGATAAAATGTAATGTAAAGCTCTAAATTAAGCAGGGGCATCTGTATCTGATGGCTCAAACACCTTATATTATAGCATACAAAGCAAGCATTAAGAATGAACTACTTGCTGATCTTGGAACAATGCCACTGCAAAAAATCAAACTGAAAGAAACTGATACAGCTCACTTGTGAATGAAGAGATACTTTGTATACACCTAACCATATTTCTAAAAATCTCAGCATAAAAGAGTAGTGTATTACCTCCATAGTTGATACACAGCTTGCCTAACACACAGGATGCCCAGGTTTGATCCCCAGCCCCAAATAAAGCAGGTGTGGTGGTACACACTTGTAATTCCCACTGGGGAGATGGAGGCTGGATGATCAGAAGTTCAAGGACATCCTTGGCTAGATAGTGATTTTGAGAACAGCCTGGAATACATGAGACCCCCACCTCAAAACAGTAACAATAAAAGCAAGAGTGAACAACTACAAAGTCATTCTCTTTAAATCACCCTACATAAAACCATTACCTTTTCGACAGCGACAAAGGCTATGTTCTTTTCACCATAATTTACTTATTTACAGATTTTTTTTTTAAATTAACGTGGGACTGAGAGATTAAAGTATGCTTGCCAGTCCTGTCAGTTCTCAACTGCCTGTAACTCCAGCTCATGATGATCCGATGCCTTCTTTTTGGCCTCAACCAGCACCTGCACTCATGTGTATAGACCCACATAGTCACATAATTAAAAATGAAGAAGAATCTTAGAATCTTTAAAAAAAAAAATAAACAAAACCTCAACCGAAGAGAAGTCAAAAACTCTATTAGCACCAATTACTGCAATTACTGAGCCCAGAGCAAAGCTGTCCAAAAAGTTGGTAGGCAGGAAACGACAGTTCCCAAACAGGTAATGAAGAAAATATGCCAAAAGTGCTCTGAGAAAAACCATTTGTGACAGTTCTAAAATTGTATCTGCCTCCAGAGTGTGGTCAAATAAAGTATATATAGTTAACCAAGTAGAATAAATGGTAACTAGAAATTAATTTCACTAAATTCCTAAGAAATAAAAATTATTGCTATTATAAAAATGGAAGCAAAAAAGGGGTGAGAAATACACTCAAGTTTATAATCAATTAAATGATGAGTCATAATTTGACCTTGTTCATCATCCGTTATATAAAAGCCACAATAAAGTTATTAAGATATATGATCAATAGTTCACATTTAAAAACATTTACCATTACATTATCAAATTGGATAAGCTCTTATCAAAACATCTCAGCATTCAATATAAACCACATTATTAAAAGTTATAAGGTAACAACAAAAACCCCTGGAGGTGTCAGGTAAATGTTTCCTAATAAACACACAATTTAACACTCAGAGCCACATAAATTCTCACTAAAAACTGATTCAGTTTTACAAAGGCAGACTTTGTAAACAAGTATATAAATTTTCCCAACACCAATTTTCCTTTTTTAATTCCAAAGTTATTCTATCAGGTCAACTTGCTCCTATTTGTATGTCAAAATTACAGGCTTCCAACCAATAATCCTAACAGCAACATACCTAACAGCAACATACCTAAACATCTAAGTAGGTTAAGCACAAAAGGACTCAGATCTTCTTATCATCAAAGAAAAAATAAATAACTCTTCATTTATATCTTTGAGAAAACAATAATATACCTTGTTTAGGAATTGCTCAGGGAAGATACTACATAAAAGGCTTCCAATGTTTCCACTGAGTGAGCTTTCTTCCACTCACTGAAACCTTTAAAGTGTATGATGGATACATTCTCACTATGCCACAGTATACAACTAGTACAGTTCATAAATAAAGCATGTGGGTACAGTTGTAAACATTAATGTAGTAAACACTTGATGTGTCTTCTCGTCCCCCAAATGTGCCATTACAATGCTCTTCCGTGGATAATTACTCTTCCCGGAAAAGTCTTCAAGTATATTTTAGTTTTGTGAAAAAACTAAAACACTGAAATAATATGTGAAAAGATTTAGTCATGGCAATTTCACTGAAGCTTTTATTGCCTCTGTTGGTAATATGACAGGGATTGGAAAAGACACACTTGAACTTACAGAGATATGCAGATGATATTCACTGAAGATAACCTTGATCTCAAGTATTTTTATATGTGGGTACTTCTTATTTTATACATTTTACTATTTAGAAAGCATTACATTTAAGATTGTGTACCTGTTCTGACATTTGGCAAAAAGTAAACTCTCCCTATGGGTCTCTCTGAAAGAAAAAAAAAAAAAAAAAAAAAAAAGACTCAGCATCGAGAACTGATGCAAAAGAAGACCGAAACCCATGACCCAAAGCAGTTACACTGGTTGTGTGTGCATGTGCTGTTTCTCTCCAGACTCACCAATGCCCCTCCCCCAACAGTACAAAACATTCCCTATAACCAGACATTTATCCTCACAATAAACACAATAAATCAGTTTTATGTTTTGAGCCCTAGGAATAGCTTTGTTTAATTCTAAGATGCCACCACAGTGAACACCTTAACTTTTTTTGCTACATAATTATATTAAAGCTTTATATATTTTTGTTTATAATTACACAGTAATTGTAAATGTTTAGTACCAAACTGATGACAAAGTTGAAAAGTCTTGCATTTAAAAATAAAATCTGTAAAACTCAAAGCATTAGGCCACAAACAAATATTGAGATTTTATGAAGAAAAATGTATGAGGTGGGGGAGGAGCTAAGGGGCTTTCATTTGAAAACAAATCATACTGAATCAATCAATCTGAAAACAACACCAGAACTCAAAATGTTCCATGTAGGGAATAAACAATATATGTCAGCAAAACTTTTGAAGATATATATATACATATATATATATACACACACATATATGTATATATATATATATATCTAACTTTTTTCATAATTGAAGTTCTTCATATTTACAAAAATGAAATCATGAAATACTGAAAACAGCAAGATTCATTTTTCTTTTAATAACCAATTTCTGTAACGTGAATAAAAATTGACTCTAAGCTTTTTTTGGTATTTGAAATGTATTCCTAAATTAAAATTATGATTGGCATAATGATATATCTATAAGGTAAGCTTTCTATGCAATTTCCAAATCATGTGACTAAAAAGCAGTTTTAATCATTTCCATATCTGCATAAAATGTTCTAGTCTCCCAAAGTACATTCCTTTGTGCCCTGAAGAGGACTGGACACATGAAGCAAACTCTTCCAACATCTAAGCTCATCATTATTAACTCTCTCCTGGAAAATATTTATGGATACACCCTTTCACATGTCAGCATGTTAACAGAGAAAACACACATTTTCAGCAGGAGAGCATTTCATGGGTCCTGTCATGAAAAAATAAAATACAATCAAGACAGTATTCTGCTTTGATGTGGAAATAGCAAATGCGAGTGAGAGAAAAACAGTCAAAAGTCCAAGTAATTTATACAACAGAAGCCATTGGTACTCTGCACCAGCACTCGCCTGTTTGAAAACCTCTGCTCTTGGAGTAAAGATTTGGCAACCACAGTGATTTAGCAGTAAAGCCATTTCAACACAATGAGAAGTCGTAGGGGCTGGAGTATTGCCTGAAAGAGCAGTGCCTATATGATAAATATTGAACTTCATGGCTCATCACAACCACTTCTAAAATGTAAATCCTACTATCTTCTTATAAATTAAGTGAATTGCATTGTGTTCCATAGTGCGATGACAAAAAATTAAAAAAAAAAAAAACTAAACCTTCATGCCTAAATTTAGAATATTGTATTATATAGCAATCCAAAACATTCAAAACAAATGAAATAGTTTAACTTATTCGACATAGAAGCATTTCAAAAGCATAATGAAATCCAATTATGTGGTGTGTGATGGAGACGAGAGTGGACTCTAACAGATGTCCCATTACAATATTGTTTAAATAAGAGTTCCCTGCAGAACCACTGTGTATAAACGTGGGTAAGACAATCACAGACTGTTTTGTAGACCTTTGTGAGGGTCTGAAACACAAGCCATATTTCAGGTAGTCACCAAGTTATCCTAATTTTTTTCATGTGTTGGTTATTTTGACATTTCTTTCATCAGCTATCCCACTCACGTCAACAGTACATGTGGTTTGCCAGGAAAAGTTAGATTCCCTGAAACCAAACACCATTCCAAATCCGGTCCACTCAGATAAATCACTCTCATTTGAGGTGCTACCAGCATAGTCTTTGCAACTAGCCCGAAGCATATACTTAAGAAGTTTTTATAAATTGTTGTGGTGTTCATTATTATGTTTAATTCTTATGCCAAACTGTTTTCTGATGAAGACAGCATTGTGCTTTATGCAAGAATGGAAACCTCAAAATAATCACCATCAAGCTTCTATGACTTATGGGAAGACAAACTAAGATGGTCCACAGGTATAAGATGAAATCCACAATGTTGGAATTATAAATGTTTAGAGTGGCCCAGACTAGAAGACAAGCCCAAACCACCAGTAGAAGAACGGAGTACGATATGGTCCAAGATGTATCCTTAAAGTTTTGTCTCAACCCTCAGTTTGAACTGTGAGGATTGATCTTCAGTTCGGTCCAGCCAGCAGAAATTGACTGTGCATTTTTCCGTTGTATTTATTGTACAGACTATGTACATTCTAGAAGGTTCCTTTAGTGCTACACTGTTGTACTTTTTGTCCCAGCAATTTGAGGGCGTGCAAATTCCACAAAGTCATCAATAAGAACAGGCCATGCTCCTGAAAAAAGAAAAAAAGAAAAAAGAAAAAAAATATGGGAGGAAAGGGAATAGAGAAAAGCAGGATAAAAGCTGGTTCAATAGAATCCTGTTTTTTTTTTTTTAACAGCTTCCTCATAAGAATTAAAATGTTACTCTTATTTATTTCCCACTGATCAATCTTCAAGAGAGTCCATCTTTATGACTTCTACTAATGTACCCCTGTCTTCTCTCTAACCTGTTATTCTAAAATGGGGGGAGTGCTTGATCAATGAAAACACCTCTCCTGGGCAATAAATCACTAATACATAATGTGGTTTTCAGACAGCTTTATTAAAGCCAGGCAGCCTATCTAATGATGTGGCAGAGTCCTACAGCCCCTCAGGAGCACCTCTCACTTCTTAGTGAAGTGATGACAGTGACAACACAAAGAACAGAGAGACGATGGCTGACTAAGCCAAAAGGTCCCGAGGTAGGGAGGTAAGGCACATGGCAGATTTTCCAAAGAATATCCTACATTCAACAATCTGAAAAAATAACAGTTGCTTCTCAGGAGGGACTAGGTAACTGCAAAGAACTAACTGGAAATGATGCTGGGGAGGGCATGCTGTTCACATAGATGGAGAAATGGCAAAGAGCATTTAAAGGATAGTGGCTGAATGCAACTAAGACCACCAAGCAGTTGAAGTCATTTCAAACTATACAAATCCAGCATACTTCATGAGTTTACAGATGAGAATAACAAAAACAAATAACAACCCACTAGATTCAAATGAAATAAAGTACATTAAGAGAATATAACTCTTACAATAAACTGAACATGTAAGATAGGGTAAGATCGTCTCCCTTTGATTGTGCAGTGCTATGGAGAGGGTGCATGCTCCACAAATGTTCTGCACTGAGCTATGATTTAACTTCACCCCACCCTCCTTCATGGCAGTCGGTAAAGAGGAAAAACCAAGACTAGGAATTTGGATCTCCTTATGTGTTACAGCAGGTGTTTAGCAATTAAAGCCTAGGTTCATTCTCCAGTACCCCCCCCCCCACACACACACACAGAGGGAGGGAGGGAGGGAAGGAGGGAGGAGAGAGAGAAGAGAGAGAGAGAGAGAGAGAGAGAGAGAGAGAGAGAGAGAGAGAGAGAGGATGACCAAAAGCTCTAAAAAGGAAGATAACTTCCATGGAGACAGCAGATGGAAGTTCAAGTAAGGCAAATATTTTTGCTACCTTCCTCATCATAATTGGACATGTCATCTGCAATCATTGAACTGAAGTCTAACAGAAGATTCCATGTGTCTTTTGGTATTGATCGTTTATGATGCTCCTATTAAAACACCAAAAAAAAAAAAAAAAAAAAAAAAAAAAGCCTTTAAACCTTGGAAACAGTTGTTGGGAAAAGTTAGTTCAGCTATTGCTAACCATAAGAAATTGTAATATTTGCAAAATGAAATTCTGGTAATCAAATCAAAATTTTCATTTTACATCTATAACATAGTCTGAAATTAATGATGCCTTGAAATAAATTAATATTTAAGTACAGTATAATCTTAAGAGAAAACAGAAACTGCAAAAAATGTTAACTTACCAACAAAAATTTATTCCATAAGTCTAAGAATTTAAATCTTCCATTAAGCACTAAGTTCCAGTAAGCAATGGCCATTTCTAGATCTGTAATATTAAGGATAAGTTATAAACTGTTTATAAACTGTAATGCTTTGAATATGTCTCTGCAAAAGAACAGTGAGTGAAACAAAGAAAGCCAATTGCATTCTGAGTATCATGGATTAAACTTTTCTTAAAGACCCAAGTCCACATTTGTGATCTTCTTTCCAATGAGCTCCAGCAGCCTCTGGCTAAGAACAATGCCACTTACCTTCACAGGGAGTAGATACTGAAACCAGACGTCGTGTTCTTTTTCACTGCCAAATACTAATGTGTGGAGGCCCCCAGGATCAGCACAGAACCTTCCACCATTCTGAACCAATAACTATTTGTTATAGGGGCTGTGTGTGCAACATGGGCCACTTCGTAATACCCATGCCTTTGTCATCAGACACCAATAAGTCATTCTTGAGGGCAAACCTGTCCCAGTTAAGAATCCTAGATGCACATCAGTTGGTTGAAATGCAAAGGGTTGCTCAATTCACAATCCTAAAATTCCTACATTCCAGCAGTTGATATCTAGCTTGTCCTAACTACAAGAATCCAGGAAATTGTGTGTGTGTGTGTGTGCATGCGCACTTTTCTAAGCACAAGTCCATTGTTCTTTTGACTCAGTGCATCAATTTTATAAAATGCATGTGCACCACAGGTTTCATTCCCCAGCACCATGGAAAATTAAAATAACTAAAAAAAAAAATCAGATAATAATAATAGTAATAATCTAAGATTTTTTTTAATTTGCCAAAGACATTTAAAAAGTTTTTTTAGTTAGACATGCATGGATCAGAGAAAGCTAAAGAAGTAATCCTGTCAATACCCACTGTGACAAATTCTAGACCTATTTTATGACAGTAAAAACAAGTTGTATCTTTTCAAGGAACTCAAAGAGTTGAAGCTGCCTAGTTTTCAAGAGAGACTGACAAGTCTTGGGTAAATCACACTGCAGGAACTTTAAATATCCTGTCAAACTGTGAAGTCAAAACCATGAGACAATCTGAGGGAGCCCAAACAACATAATAAAGACTAAGGTGGACAAATGCTGCTCAGACTCTTAAAAATAATAAAAAGAAATCCAACGCTTATTCACTGACAAAACAAAACAAAACAAAACAAACAAAAAAACAAAACAAAACAAAACAAAAACCAAAAATCCCACAGGTGATTTGTAGGAAATCAACTGAAAATCACAAATGCTAGAGACCTGGAAGGATTGGTGGTGGTGTGAATGAAAATGGCTGCCATGGGCTCAGCTACCACGTCTGCCTGTGTACTACCATGCTCCCCACCAAGACGACAATGGACTAAACCTCTAAACTGTAAGCTAGCTCCAATTAATAAGAGTTGTGCTGTAGTCATGGTGTCTCTTCACAGCAATAGAACATTGACTGTTGGAATAAAGTCCACGAATGAAGTTGTATGAGGAGAATTCTGAGAGCTTGTATGGTAGTTCTAAGAAAACAAGAAAAACATCTTTTAACCTGCTTCTTCATAACATGGTTGTTCTTGGTATGAACTTTTGTCCCTCTCCCAGGTGTAGTCAATAGGAGTGGGTTACTTTGGATTACCCATCATCTACTATTATCATTCAGAATGCTATTTCCAAGCATGGTTTGTCCTCACAGCTGTCTAAACTCATGTGGTCTTGCCCTTTTAACTGTAAAACACTGCATGAAGTCAAGTGAACTTTGCTCATTTGACCTTGCTTAATCCTCAAAATACTGCCAGAATAGAAACTGTCTGAAACTCTAATGAAGTTAGTTATTGCATGAGACTTCAGTCCACCTCATTTTTAAGCTCTATTCTCCCACATTCACACTGACAACTAGGGTGTTAACAATTGACTAAGAAAGAAGTTGGTACCTGATGTGACAGGTCTGACCATGCTGCTTGTTGGTAGAATGTGGATGCTGGGACTTTAGATTAGGAAAGCAGTTGAATGCTTTCAGTGGGGCTAATGGGCCACACTAATGGGAGCAGAAAAGACAGTGGTGCTGAGAGAAATGTAGATTATGATGACCCAACTCAAGTTTCAGAGGAGAAGACTATTAGTAAGTAGCCTAGAGATGATTCTTGTGATATCTTGTCAAAGAATGTGGCTCCTTTTTGCCTTTGTTTAAAAAGTCTGCCTGAGGCTAAATTGAAGAGTTTTAGGTTAAATGGCATTGGCAGAGGAGATATCAAGGTAGTTTAATACTGACTCTGTCTTGTGGCTATTAGTGATTATGCAAATCTATAAAGAAAAAGAGAAAGCTGAACAAAGGAAAATACAAAATGTACAGTTTGAGGTGAAAAGGAGCACCAAGAAGCATAATAAAGCTATGCCCAGGGCTCACAGAGAAAAAGTTTAAAGAAAGCCTGATCCTAAATGGAATAAAGGGAGTGCTAACCTCAGGGCAAGACCCTATCCAGCTAAGGTCCTAACCTGTGAAAAGGAACTAAAGAAAAAGCTTAACCACTGAAGGAAACCATTGAAAACAGAAAGCTGATGCAGATATACTCTACAGATACTTGCTTAGTGATGTTCATCCATTCTTGTTCTATTCACAATAGCTAAGACATGGAAACAACCTAAATGTCCTTTGACTAATGAATGGATAATGAAAATGTGCTACATATATACTATAAAAAAGCTGTAAAGAAAAATTAAATTATAAAATTTGCAAGTAAATGGATGGAACAAAAAGGTTTTATTGAGTAATCCCGAACCAGAAAGGCAAACATCACATGTTCTCTCAAATCTGTAGTTCAGATGTGGGTAATATAATGTGGAGTAATTATGTAAGTCAGGAAAGGAAAAGGGGTCCATGGGAGAGAAAGAAGAGTTAAAAAGGGCAAGAACAGGACACAGGTTATATGAAGGGGAAACATGGGAAAAATGGGAATAGGGAGGGAGGAAAACAGAGAAGTAAAGAGAGGGAGGAAAGATAACACTAAAGATATTTGAAATAGTAATTTCAAGGAATTATGTTGTTTTATATTTACTTAAAATTACATATAATGTAGATAGGTCTATGTGCACATGCACAGACATAGTTTAAGTGAAGTTATGCTACTTGGGGTGCTAATGCCTAAGTCCAAGAGCCAAAGACAAAAAATTAAAACAAAGAAAATAGCACCCAGCCAGGCTTGAGAAACCTCCTTTTGAGCTGTTGATTGGGGGAATCCAAGACTCCCAAACAATTGCCTTTGGTTGCCTCCAAAAGGTTAATGGAAAATTGTATTGCTGAGAAAAATACTTTGGTAAAAGCCTTGGAAGATCTAAACTGGATCTGACCTGAAAGCCTTCTCCCTGAGGCCTAGTTTTCATAGTACCAGAAGATGATATGCACAGTGTATAGGGAAGAAAGAAATCAATCCTCCTATCCTATGAAGTACAATGACCAGCATGGCATGACATCCCTACAGGTGCAGTAATGGCATTCATATCTTGAAAGTAACCAACAGCAGTCTAAATGGACTTGAGGCTCACCTAACATGAGGAAGTCATGCCTCATACTGTAAACTGAGACAACCATCTGTGGTTAGTGAAGTCATGGATCCTATAGGAGAAACTACCTCTATGATTTGTATGATTGCTAACTGCATTCTAAATAAGTACCCTTATACCCACAAATAAGTGTATAGCATACACATACATACATACATAAACACACACACACTCACACTCACTCAAATAAACTTCATTTTTCTATCAGAGACCATCACAGTTACAACTGGTAAAATGTAGCTAGCAACTGATGTGGGGTGCCCCAACTAAGACATCTATAATACCACACCTACACCCAAGTCTCAGGGAACATTATGGGAGAGGAGCTGGAAAGATTACAGAGCAAGAGGAGCAGGAAGTCTGTGTCTTCTAGAACATGCAGGGTTTTGTTTCTGAGGTTGTGTTACTTTGCTTAATATATATTCTAACTCCATCATTTTTCTGTACATTTTATGATTACAATTTTCTTTCTTTTTATACTTTTTTACATTTTTCTTTAGAGTTGAATAGTCTCATCCACTCACCCCATCTCTTTCATACTCTGAATTTTCATTACCCATTCATTTGTTGATGGACAGCTAGGTTGACTGCAATTTTTTGTCATAGTGTTAGATTAGAAACTGGGACCCACAAACAAGAGAACATGCATTAGTCTTTCTGGGTCTGGGTTACTACACTCAGTACAATCATTTCTCTTTTTTAATTTTGTTTTGTTTTGTTTCTCAGGATAGGGTTTCTCTGTGTAGTTTTGGAGCATGTCCTAGAACTCTCTCTGTAGACCAGGCTGGCCTTGAACTCACAGAGATACACCTGCCTCTGTCTCCTGAGTGCTGGAATTAAAGGCGTGAGCCACCACCATCTGGTCAATATAATCTTTTCTATTTCTATCCATTTACATGCAAATTTCATTTTTCTTTACAGCTGAAGAGTATTCTTATAGTTTGATTATTTAAAATCAAAAACAAAAAAATCTTGAAAGTAAAAATCTCACACCAAAATTAACCAGACCCAGTCTACACACCTGAGTGAATTAGAATTGCCTCTTCTGAAGCTGTGGAGTTTCACACTGGATTGTACATTCTGACTGCTATATATTGTTATGCACTTAACTACCATCAAAAATGGAAAGTCTATGACAGAGTAAGAACTAGAAAATGATTAGCTTTATATTCTCTTTCATAACTCGTGTCCCTTACCTCCATTCACTCCTTCCTCATGCCCTATATTTAGCCTTTCTTTCCCTCTTTTCTATACTGAATCAACATGTGTCTGAGTGTGCTTCACTGGTTGGGTTCCACATACGACAGAGAACATGTGCCTCAACTCTCTTGTGCTCTCTGAATTCTGGCTGCTCCAAAAGGACTCTAATTTCCAGTGTCATTTTCCAGTGAGTGTGGTCAGTTATCCCTCCCACAGGAACAGGTTTACTCCCTTAAATCACTAAAACCACTTCCAAATTACTTGGAATTTGGTGCAGACAATATGTGATCTGTGAACACACGCCATCATCTAGTTCTAT